GGGGGGTGCCACTGGTGGCGGGGTACCGTGCGGAGCCCCGCGGTCCCTGACGCCCCTCTGCCTCCTCAGATCTCCTTCCTACAGCCCCTCGCCTGTGAAGAAGAAGAAGAAGAAAAGCTCCAAGAAGCGAAAAAGAAACAGGTATTTTTCCCTTGAAAATGTGGTTTTCCACCAGCAGGGGCTGTTGGGGGGGGTCTGGACAAGGAGTGGAAGATGTTACTGTTGTCAGGCGCAGTGCCGGGAGGCATGAGAGGGTCAACCTTCTGGCTCTTCATAGTGGTTGGTAGTGGCCAACCGGCGTGCCTCTGGGCGAGGAGGGCATGGAAACGGGCGCACACCCCGGATAAACGGCTAGACATGAGCTGTTGGGGTGCAGGGGAAGAGAGACAGATGAGCCAAACCAGCACAAGGTCCACAGAGCCTCTGCCTGCTGTCCTGTTTCACATAGCTCCCGTCCTCTGGGATGCCAACGGGATCGGCACTCAGGGCTTGCACTGGTCCCTTTCCCTTCTCCCCCAGTCTGTGGAAAGCATCAGCATTGGGACCAGGAAAAGGCTCAGTCCTCCCTCCCCATCCCAGTCCTCCCTCCCCATCCCAGTCATCCCTCCCCATCCCGGTCCTCCCTCCCCATCCCAGTCCTCCCTCCCAGCCCTGGGTGACTGCCTCCACGTTCACCTTCTGAATCCTATTTTTAACTTAAAGAGCACAATTAAATTTTAAAATTGCAAATATTTCACTGTTTTCTCTCAACTGTTAAACCAATATTTGAAGAGAACAGTGGATGCCATCTCCCTTGGAAAGTTCATGTATTAATAATATATTGAACCGAAGAGAGAAGCTACCAGAAATGGATAACAGGGTGAAAAGCTGAGCTTGAATCTTAAAGAAGAGGGAGGGAGGAGGAAAGACAAGGATATAGAAACACCTTTAAAATACTTCCTTCCCAAGGAGGTATTATTATGCTCTTTTATAGATGCCATCTCCTGACAGAGGTCCTGAGTCAGATGCTCCTTGGTTTTGAAACTTTAATACCCATTTATGACCCTGCAAGCTGAGGACAAGCTGTAGCTGGCCCCAAAAGGCAGCATGATAAACCATTAAGCATCAGTGACCAATGGAGGTTGTTCCCAGACAGCTGGTACCACTTCAACGGCAGATCCCAGCTGACCTTGCCACAGGCAATCTCACAGCCCCTCTAGGCAGGACTTCAGGCCATGTCTTCTGCAGAATGTGCTCCAAGCTGATGAGACACAGAGGGCTGTGCAGTGTACTGAGGCTGGGGCTTGCTGCATGCTCCATGCTCGCAAGGTTTTCTACGAGGACCACCAGCACAGTGACTCCTGTGTCATCCCAGGGATGCTTCAGGAGGCACGACAAAGGCATGACACTGGTTTGGCTGTGAGGCTGCTCTGGATTTATGCAGAAAGGATTTTTCCTTTGACTGCGGTTTGGTCTTTCATATGGAAAACCAGGAGATGGACTCACCTCTGGCCCTCAAACTAACTGCGGTGTAAGACCGTGGAGGCAGTAGCAGAGAAAAGGGACCCACCAGGGACAGGGGGTGTATCTGATCTATACAGACTTGTTATCCTGAGGATCTTATTCTCCATTATTTGTAGAGTGTGCTAGTTACTTCTACCACACCAGCATTTCTCAGCTACCCCCTTGCCAGCTGGCTAAAGGAGAGCCAGGGCCATTCTGCCCAACTAGTACCTGAGGTCTTCTCACAGTGCTCAGTCTAACACTGAGCCTAACCTCATTGTCTCTGATTCAAATTTCCAATTTTGTGAGACCCTGTATTCAATGTACATATTTGTGTCTTGCAGGTTATCTTCAAAGAAGAGAAGACACAGGTAAGAGTTGAGCAAGTGTGGGTGGTCCCTTAGAAATATGAGTTTAATCATCTCTTCAAGATCTCACAAGGCTGATTCACTGAGTGGAGGCAGAAGACATTTTTCTTCTGTATCTGCTTGTGGAATCCCCTTGGATCCCTGCATCCCCTTTGGGTCTTACCCTCTCCCTGTTCAGCCTTATGCATTCCTCAAATGCCACAAGAATCAGGTCTCCAGCCCAACCTGTGCAATCAAGCACGTAACTGGAAAAGACCTCTTGGTATAACCTAGCCCCTGGCAACCTCATCCATCTTGCATCTTGAGTCTTCATTTCTCTTATGGTTTCACTTGCAAACAGTATGGCATCCCCAGCAGTGCCCATCTTTGAAACATTCAGCATCAGTGGCTTTCCAGGTGTGTACTGGAAGAACTCTCCTGATTCCAGTACGTGTGTGTACAACATCAAGAAGTATTCATCCCCGCTGTGGGGAAAATGCAAAGCCACCAGGATAGCTGATCCCTTTGAGGTTCCTCTTTGGCCAAGCACATGAGCTAGATTTGTCAGCAGGCACTCAGACCCCCTGTGCTGAGGCAGAATCGTTAATCCCTTTCACTTTTATTGCACGCTCTTGGGCAATCTAGCTGTAACATTGACGTGTGATTGTGCAGCTTTTTATCAGAACAGAAATCTCCGAATTAATTAGCTGTTTCTTATTTAGTTCTTCAAGCCCCAAAAGTAAGAGAAAGGAAGAAAGAAAACACAAAAAACAGTAAGTAGCGATTCATGGTGTTCCTTGCTCTGCCCACGCAGAGCTGCGGGGCTAGGAAGCGCTTGGTGTGGTGGGTCCCCCGGAGCTAATGCTGGCTGCGCAGCCCTAAGTGATTCTCAGGATTATTTTGCAGCTAAAACCAGCAATTCTGAATTTCCTGGAATGGGAAAGGGTTTGTAGAAGCTGGAGATCTTTCCTGTCCATCTTTTTTGTGCCACTTTGTTCAGTACTTTCTTTGTATCTCACAGGGATGTACAGTGTCTTGTTCATCCAGTCCTGAGCAGAGTTTTTCTGGTGAGGGCAGCATGAGAGGGTGAGCTCAAACCTGCAGAGCGCAGTGCCCCACTGCCTCCACTGCCCAAAGGGCAGGCTGGCACACTCTTACTGAGAAGGGATTTAGCTCCTTGTTTGCTGCTCTTGGAGGTTACGGTAGGGGCTACTCATGGTACACAATACAACCAGATATCTGAATGGGAGCAGAAGGCAATGGGGACTAGGGAAGAGAAGGGATTGTTTGGAGGTGATGGAGGTTGCAAAAATCTGGGGTTGAGGTTCCCATCTGCCCTGGAGCGTTAGCAGAGCACAGTTCTTGTCCTGTGGGGCGATCAAGGGGTATGGTATAAAATGTGGTTCCTCAGGGCTGGAAGGGAGGCCTGTAAGGCTTCTCTGTTTTCTGCTTCCTTCTCTATCTTCTCCTGGTAATTGCAACTTGTGGCTTCTTAGAGCAAGGAAAGTGTTCTGGGACTGAACGCTGGGCACCAAACCTCTGGCTGGCTCTGCTGGCACTTGGGATATCCTACTAGAGACAGAAACTGAGTTAGCAGATGGAAATCTCCTAGTTTGTTTGGTATTAGTAGGACCTGCCCTTTAATTCTTCTCAACACAACTTTTAGCTCTTAGGCAGAAAGGAGACAGAGGGACAATAACCCCTGACACCACCAGTGTCACCCCAGTACACACTGGGACTGAAAAGACTGGGAATTCCTGAGGTGCAGAGCACGTTGTGCTGCCTGTGCAGGCTGTCTCTGTTGCATACAGGAAGTCCATCTCCTTTTCTCTGATTTCTGCGTGTTCAGTAGCACAGCTACTTTTTTTTTCCCCCTCCCCTTTCCCTTAAACTGGGCTGCTATGCACCCAGAAATCTCAGTTGTAAAACTGAGGCTTCCTAGGTTATCAGTAAAAGCAGGTGTCTCCCAACCCAACGTGCCACTGGCCAGTATGCAGTAGCCTCATGGTGTGGTTAAAACAAAGATCTGATGCCCTGCTGGTACGTGCTGTCCTAGGGGAACGAGAGCTGCTCTAACTGTTCTTTGTGGACAATCCAGCCGAGGCGTTTTAGCTCTCATCTTTCAGCTCACGAATCAGAGCTGAACCACTCCTGGCTTCTGCAAACCCTCTTATTGCTCCTGGGTGTGGATCAGATAGATCCTGTGAGTCTCAGATCCGGATTTTTGTGTAGTCACACTGCTTTGGTTTATCTTTGTGTCAAGCAACTGGTTATCTAAATCACACAGGACTGTTTTTCCCTCTGCAGAAAGGGAGAACTCTTAAACTGGAGGGACTGACGCAGAGGGTGAAGTGCAAACGTGGGATTTTCACACAAATCCACCATGTGAGGGAGAGATGTTTCCTGATTTCAGCTGTATGGAAATAAGGAAGGATTCCAAAATATGAAGTTTTTAAAAGCATAATCATAGAGTGTGGAAAGTACCAGAGAAAACAGCCAGGCAGAGTTCAAGCAACTGCCCTGGAGGTTGTCCTTTTGTCTTAAAGGAGATGCTGTTCTCACGCAATTGATTTGCTGAGTTTTTATTGCAGCAAATTGGCAAATGCTGTCCAAGCAGGTCGTATTCGTGCTGCCAGTGACTGGTACAGCGCGGCCAGGAAACCACACTGGTCCCACCAGCCAACCCATCGTTAGTTTTGCCTGCTGGCACAGTGCTGCCAGCCTGAGCAGATGGTTACACTGCTAGATCTAAAATAACTGCTGTGGTAGGCAACGATGAGAGGGAATGGATGCCAAAGGTGATGGGTAGCCTGCCACCTGCATCACCCTGCTGTCTGCAGGTGGGACTTCGGCTGTTGGCATGGGCAACAGTGGCCCTTCAGCAATAGGACCAGGTAATCCATCAGTAATAGCCTGAATGGAGCGTGCATCACCCTGCTGTCTGCAGGTGGGACTTCAGCAATAGGACCAGGTAAACCATCAGTAATAGCCTGAATGGAGCAAAGGGAAGCACAGCAGGACACTGAACCTGGGCCCCTGCCCACGTTTGAGGCTAACTGTCCCGTGGCCTTGTCGGAAAAGGGAGAGCAGCAGTGACTGGACACCTCTAAGAAGCCGGGTAAAATGGTCCTGCCCCTCAAGCAGGAGCCACGCACAGCACAGGCTGCAGTTAGGGAAGCTGGGCTTCATGTTTATATACAACCATAGGACTGGCTGGACCTTCCCACCTGGAGAGCTGAGGAAGGCTGGCTGTTACTGAGTGTGCTGTATTTGGAACCCATCCTTCTGCATCTGCTTTTTAACAAGGAGCCTGTGCTACAGAGAGGGTTGGAGTAAGAAATGGGAGGGTTGGAGCTTTACCCAGAGGGCTGGTGCTCCTGCAGTGAGGCTCAGCAATGGGAAGGTCCCTGGCTGTCTTAGGGTAGGCTGCAGGATGAAGGGCAAGCATGCAACTCTTTAAGGTCTTGAAAACAGAAAGGATTGGTGCTGTCTGCTGTGTTCCTGCATGCTAGTCCATAGATCTTCCCCCAGCAGGCTACAGAGCCAACCTAATAGCTTGTAGTTAAAATGCTAGCATAGATCTTGGTGAGATGGCTTGCCTTAATGTCAGTGTAGCTATGGAGGGATGGAGAATTCCTCATGCCTTGGTGTCCTGCACAATGTTTCATGCGCCAATCTCTTCCTTCTGATTTGAATGTTATCGACTTCAGCCTCCAGCTGCTGGCTCTTGCATCCCCCAGCCTGCTAGCCTAACGATGGTTTTCCTCTCTGCTTCTTAAAGCTCTCGTGGGCGCGCTCGGAAATCTCACCGCCATCGCCACCGCCACTCTCGCTCAGAGAGCTCCGACTCCCGCTCCCCCAGCTGCCGAAGCAGGTAACGTCACCGCTCCCTGAGCTGGGTGTTCTGCAGCACTTCGTGGTGGGCTCAAGGACGTGATTGCAGTAGCTTGTGTGACCCACAAACTCTCTGTGCAGAGCCACAACCCATTCTGGTAGCAGCAATGTCACATACTGGGGGTAGAGCTACTTGTGGTCTCGGCTGTAGAAGGGTTTTGGCTCGAGGAGCAGTGGCTGCAGTTTTTTGGTCCAGCAGTCACTTCTAATCCCCATGGCTGATGATCAGCCCATGACAGCTGATTCCAGCCTAGTCTCCCTTCCCCAGCCTAAGGGCTCTGTACTGCTGATGTCCCAGGAAACCCTTAAACTTGGTTTTGGCAATGGAAATATTTGCCCATGGCATTCTAAAGCCACTGTCTTTGACCTGATTAAAATCTCAGTCCTGTGGATGACAGATGCATCCTGGGGCCAGCTAAGAGGATGCTGGTGCTAGACCCGGCATCACTGCAACAGCAATCACAGAGTTTATACGCATCATGAGTTCATGTTTCATATTTTCTGAAAGCGCTTGATTTTATGAACGAACCATCTCCACTCTCCCACTTCACTCCTAACTACTGGGAATTTTCTTATGAAAAGCTGATGATCAGTGGAGAGAGGAATGCAAACAGTAATTGGAGGGGTGTTCATTTAAGAGCAGAGTGTGTCTTCTCTTCATCTGTCTCATCAGTGGGACATTCAAGACCATGAAATATGGTTTGCCTTGAGCCATTATAAAATCATGAATTGGAGCTGAAATTTGAGGTTAAGGTCCAAAGCCTGGATGCAAAATATTTTTTTAAAAGAGTAGAAAAGCAAAACACCCCTTTTCTCTCCCTCATGACTCCATAGAGTAGTCATGTGGAAGACCGTCTCCCACACGCAATGGCCTCGTGCCAAGGGTTTGTATGGAGCTGTTACTGGGCACTACTACTGCAATACTGCGGAATAACGGTTTGGCTGTTCATGTCTTCTGGAGGCACAGAGCCAGGTCTCGGGAGGAAGGGCGTAAAACACGGCAAAGACGCTCCCGGCACCGTTCAAAGATCACGGCAAAGCAAAGCTCCTCTGCAGAGGTTCAGGCCAGCCAAAAAGCCAGCCAAACCCTCCCGTTCTACAGCTTCCTGTCTCCGAAGGAAGTAGTAAGTATTACACATGGTGCTTCTTTGCTTGACCTAGCTACGGGAATCTGGGCAAGAAATCTGATATGAAATTTTTATAACTCAATTATAGTGATGTTAGACAAAGTTGGTTAAAACTGTATTATTTATTAATGGTGCTGTTCTCCAACATACTTAAAGTCATTCCATCCTTCAGCACTTTCACACCAAGGGTGGGGCTGGAGAGGGGAAAAATTTGCAAAGGCTGTAGCCTATGAATAATGAATTGAGGACATTTAACAAAAAAAAAGTGGCCTTCAGCAATGATATTTTACAGGGAAGTGTTTGTTATGCAGTCTTTGCTCAGCTGGATGTGAACTTAATTCACTGGTCTCCATGTCCAAAAGTTTAGTCCTTCAGGGGAAGAAAGGGAATCAAACGTATATAAAAGAAACATTTACATTTAATGAGTTGGTGATTATTGGCAGGGGATGTTTTCTGACTGTCAGGATCCTTCTAGGATCACTGTTGCTCTGGACTGACAAGCCCAGGGGCCAAATTTGGAACTTATGAGCAGCTCTCATTGATGCTAATGGGAACTGCATGTTCAGCCAAGGGTAAAATCAGGCTCAGTGCCTTGGGATGTTTTTCCATATACATGGAAAGAGATGATATAATACATGCATTAGAATTGAGGGAGCAAGAGATGGAGAGAAATATTAGATACAGATTGATATGAAGTCTTCCTTTTCCATGGCACGTTTCTCCTTCGTTCCCAGCAGCCACAAAGCAGAGGTGTGATGCTCTTTGATCATGGTGTTGGTATCTGCTAGGCATTCTGGAGAGATAAATTGCTACACGGGACCCAAGGTAGTGCAGAATCTGGTACTCACATGTGTGGATGTGTAACTTCAGAGGTGTCTTGAGTATAGAGTCCTCCAAGCCCCAAAGTGGTATATAATGGGGAGCTGATTGATTTTTCTCCTTTAGGCCCAGCGGTCCACTGGAAATAGCTCAGCCACACGCGGTAGCTCCATCAGATATGAGATAGATAGTGCCAGCAGGAGGAGAGACTTTATCTGCTCACCCGCACCGACAGCGTTCCGATCAAAATGCACAGAGATTATCTGTGGGTACAGACAGGCACAAGCTGTCCCTCAACATTAGGGATGTGCATATTTGCTCTCGTTAAATACACCTCGTGAGTGTGTAGTGCACATGTGAGTCACTGCTTAGAAAACCATGTGAGGTAGAGTGTGAATAGCAGAACCTGCACACCATGCTTCACAGCGTGTGCACGTGCAAAGAAGGAATAACAAGCTATGAACCTTTTATTGCCACAAGCCTGGGACGTTGCCCTCTGCCAGCTTAGGAAGGTAGGAATGAGTTAAGAGCTCTCCTCAAAAAAACCCAACCAGCCAAAGACTGAATCATGTCACCACCAGGGTGTTGGTTGGTTTGTTGTTTTTTTTTTTTTAGTTCAAGCCACATATTTTACATAAACGTTTTCAAGTCTAAGCCTGGTTTGTAATTGGTACAGGGTTTTGTCTCTCTGAAGCCAGGCTCCCTGGGTCCTGTGAGGCCAACTGCCAGCTGTTCTGTTCCCTGAGCAAGAGTAAACTCTAATTTAAAACTGTAAAAGCTTTAAAATGAGATAAACTCCAGCATGCTGCACTCCCCTTTCCGCTTGCTTCGCTTGGGGTAAATGAGCACACAAGCTGCAGGGCAGGGAAAATCAGAGCTTTATAGTTACAGATGTAGGGAATGGATGCAAAGTAAAAGCCATCAGGCCCCTGCTGTGTTCTTTCTCAGTAAGGGTTAATAACACAGGCAAATGTTTGAATGACTGAAATGCATCAGTACCTTTAGGATGCAGCCCACTAGTGTCCTTTTGTTCCCAAAAAGAAGTATGCTCTCTTGGGACATAGTTCAAGAGCACATTTAAGCACCTGTTTAAATTGAAGCCCCTGGTTAAGTGGTTAAGTTTTTCTGAATCAGGTCATTACATATCATGTTCTCAAAATTGGCGAGGAAAAACTGGAATGGGATCTTGTAGTCTCATTTATTAGTGGCTATACACAACTCTTTGATGCCTTTCCTTTTTGTGAGTCAAATGGTTGCTCTATAAATAAGCTTAGTTCTGTCAGAATCCACTTTGAGAGCAGCCTGGATGTGTTATGAAATGAAAATGTGCTCTTGCAGAAAATGTTGATCACTTATCAAAAATAAATTACTGGAAAAGAACAGATTTTGTGGAAAATTACGGAATTTGAATTCAAAAATGCCATGTTTCAGTCCTCTGTGAGGGCTGGTGTGTCCCACTCCCTGCCCATCCCTCTGGCCGGAGCCTCCAGGCCAAACCATCCTTACCTGGGAGATCATTGTCGTATCTCCAGAGCAAAGGGATTGTCCAGGGAGGATCCCGACAGGGAGACGAGACCCAGAGAGATGATCCACAAACTCCTATGAGGTAATGCTATAGCATTTCCAAATCAAAGATTTTGCTTTTAAAGTTGATTTTTATTCTATATTCTTTTCCTTCCGAAAAGTTGAAGTATTTTGTAGTAAATTCTGCCACGTCTACCCCCCAGTTTGTTCTCCTTCCTTTCTACTAGAACAGCCACATTTTCTGACTAGGTCTACCTGTAATTTGAGGAACAAAGCTTACAAAAGAATGCCCTGCCCATGCACCTACCTTGCTGCTTCCTTCCCTCTTGCCTTCATGCATAAGTTGATGCACGCACACGCGTGCACACATGCAGAAACACCCCAAAGTTCCCTGCTACTTCTCTTTTCAGCAGTGAATTTCCAACCTTCTCCCTCTCCTCCTCCCTTTAATCCCATGCAGCTGCAATAGCCACCTGTTGAGAACAGGATTGTGGGGCTGTGCCTCAGCATGCAGAGACACTGTGGGTGATACGCAGCATCTATTTTTGAGCAGAATACCCCTAACCCACTGCTGTGCTTTATTCCACACCGGTACAGGTGTATTACGTGCCACTGTGCAATATAAATACCTGCAGGGGACGAGTCTAATCGCCTTCGTGGTACCTGATGAAGATCACTGTGCGCTGCAGACGCTTGCCCTGCCAGCTCCTTTGCTTCCACTGAAACTCGTTTACGAGGTCGCAAATCAGCATAGGCTTGAGCCAAATTTTCAGCGAGGCTCAGTGGGGTACGGTTGTTCCAAATAGTGCTCGTGTGCCTGCAGAAAGGTAGAAGTGGGGAGATGCTGTGCAGGGGCTGGCGTGTGCAGGATGGCTCGGGGATCCTTGTCGCAGACCTGTGTATGGGCTTGCTGTTGCGCTGTTTTCTAGCCTGGGTTTTGGTTCACATAAGAAAAGCTATTATTTTAACTGTTAGGCACTGTGTTTCTGACAACAGCTAGGGCCCTTGAGGTGCAGAAAGGCAAAGCCTTCCATAAATATGGACGTTGTTCTCTTTTTGCTTTTTCTCCCCTCCCAGTGAAGGGACTGAGGTTACCCCTGGTTATTGTCTGGTAAATTTGCAGCTCAGCACTGGGACCACAGGGAGGCCAGCAGCCTGGAGTGAAGGAGAGGGATACCTGCAGCCATGGGAGGGCTGTGCTCAACACCAGGTACCAAAGGAGGTGGTGGAAGGCAAACCCTTGCTCCAAAGCAGTGCCAGCCTGGCCCGAGCCCAGCTGGGGACACTCTGGCCTGCGTCACACAACATTGGCTGCATCCCAGCAGGCTGAAAAGATCTTTATGAAGGAGCAAACCTTTGCCTGGCATTCTAGGGAATTTGCCTCCAGCAATGGAGCTGCGAGCCAGGCTGCTCAGCAGAGTTGCTGGCCAGCCCCAGGTAACCCAAGCTCTGACCTTGCAGGGACAGTCGTGTTTTTGCCTCTGTGCTCCGGGACTCAGCTTAGCCCTTGTGGTAGGGAAACCTCACCCTGAAATCTCCATCTAGCAAGAAAACAGAATATTTTCCATTCCATATTCCTTGAGTCACGAATTCATAATTGTGCAAAAAGGGGTTATGTTGTATTCCTGCAGCACTGCTATTTTTTTTATTCCCGTAATAAGAGGTTGGCTTTTCAGCTGGAGCAAATCCTCAGCAGAGGTGAGCCCATTTCCCCCAGGTGAAGACCTCCCCCATCTCTGGGAGATGGAGGTACCTCAGACCAGGCACAGGACCTTGTTCCCCCAGCAGCCCGTCTCAGCAGGTGCTGCTCCTGACACCACTGGGGTCATTGGCACGAGTGGGGTTTTTTTATTCCTTATTACAATGCACAGAAAAAGAGAGAAAGGGAGACATTATGCACCTCTGAAAAAGAAATCAACTCCACTTTGAAGTGAGTTGCAAAAGAAGAGGGGAAAAAAAAGACTGAAAAAAGAAATCCTCCAGCTCCAAGTGAGGCTGTCCCATGGTGCTCGGTGATGGGTCTCGGTCCCCTCATGGCTGAGAAGATGTCTAGTCTCAGCCTGAGGGCTGCTTGCAGCACAGTAGATGGACTCGTTCGGTTTAATTGGAAGACGAGTAGTGATTGTATTTTTGTAACCTATTAGACTGCATTGCCTCTTGGTCTAGGACCGCACTCAAAATTACAGTCTGGAGTAGGAGTGAGGGCCTCATTTCTACTCCCCCTTCGTCTTGATTAAATAATGATTTGAAACAAAAACAATTCAATAAATATATATCTCGGGTTCCCCTGAGGGCAGGAGTAGGTCCCCTGCTGAAAGCTGGAGGAAGCAAAGTTCACTGAGATTATTTAATTACTATTAGAGAGGGGGGAAAAAAATCCGAATGTTCACATAGAGAAAATTAGATTCATGAAAGAGCAGACTCTTTTTGAGACACTCTAGAAAAATAAAAAGCCATTAGAATCCAATTGAGCTGCGCACAGTGTTTTCAGATGTGGCGCTCGGTTTCCATCTCGAGTGGCTGGTGTGCCTTTCGGAAGCAGTAAAATGAGACCAGAAGCAAAGCCAAGGTGGTCAGATGGGGAATCTGTCTCCGAGCAGACAGGCGAGTTGAGTGTCTTGAGGCTTGTCCTGGCTCTTGCCACAGGACAGAAATGTCCCCGGAGCCCCCAGGAAGCTACTGGCTGCAGCCTGGTGCCTCAAGGTGGTGGGGCTGTGAAGCTGCTGCCCCTCACCTTGGCACCTTCTTTGCTCAGACCAGACCCTCCAGTCCTCACAAGGACCATGGGCTCCATATTTCACTAATATCCACATGTTGCCTCTTCCCAGAGTGCTGCCACCACAGATGTTGACCTACAGAGGAGCTTGTTGACCTCCCCCCCCCCCCCCCCCCTATCATTTGAAAGATCTTGTGATGTGCTGACAACAGTTGCTACTTTGAAGGTAGACTTCGGCAAAGGCAAAGCAAGAGCTTGCATCTTAGGTCCCAGCAGCAGTCTTAAAAAGCTGTTTTAGAAATGCCAAGGAACTGCTGTATTTCTTGGCAGAAATAAAGGCCTCTTGGTTTAGTTTGGGAGGGAACAGGAGCGAGGTGTCTGTGCATGCGATGCTGGCGTCAGCATCCCTCAGAGCAGCCCCATGCCCACTCCAGGTACCTCACATGGTGGTTTTATGTCTGTAATTGAAAGGTGGTCAAAAGCTGATTATCTCTGGGTTATGGTTCAAATCTAATGCAAACCATAGCCCAGCTTTTAAAAACAAATCTGGTGCCACATTTGAAAGTGCAATCCTGTATCTTCTGGGATCTGGCTGAGTTTGTAACATGGAGGCCAGTTCTCTCAGGACTCTGGATATGCCATCAGAGTTTCAGAAGGAATTGGTGAAAAACAGAGGAGAGACAGACACCTGCCTCTTTTATGCTTCTTTAACATTCCAGTTTCTACTGGAGTAAACAAGCACTGGTAGAGAAGTGCTAGAGCTGAGAAGTAGCAAGGAGCAGTACCAGATGCTGAAATGAGGACTTGTGATGTGTGTCTCCACTCATTCCTAGCTGGGAACATTTGGGAGAAGTTTCTGCTCTGGCCAGGGCTTCTGCATTGAAGGTGCAAGTTGGCTAGTGAAGACGGATCACTCTGTTTCCCATGTCTGCTGCTGGGGCTCCCGATGCCTCCGAGCTGGGACTGAGCATGGCTTAGAAGTTAATGTGAGGTGGGGATGGGGGAGGCCCCCAGCTCCAGTATGGATTTGCTGGGATGAACTAATTCCTGTCTCTCTATCCCTTATCCCAGAAACAGTAACGCCTCTCTCTGGCAAGAGTAGGAAATACTTGGGAATCCTCCAACTCCAGGTGTTTTCAGAGCTTGAGGATGTGGGTGGTCGTTGTTCCACAGCCTGTGTGCTGACAGTCGCTGTGTGTGTTGGTAGCTCCACTCTGGGTTCAGTCGCTGCTGGTCCAGCACGTGTGTCCGAGTCGGCCATCCCTGTCCCAGTTAGCACCTCTTGAACAAGGTAGAGAGCAACCCCCCAGGGGACACAGATCAGATGCCACCGGTGGGAGGGTAGACATGAAGGCACCGTCTGATGTCATGAAGGAGCTCCATGCAAACAGTGACACAGGCTGGGTCTGAAGCCCCTCTGTGGATGAGAAAGCCCTGTCCCTGTGCCAGCCCACCCAGGGCTGGGCTCTCCAAAGGCGCCGGCCCTGTCCCTGCTGTGTGACAGCTGATCCAGGTCTCCTCTGCTCCCTGAGATATTATCAACATTGCCATGTGGTTTTCTCGGCTCAGAATACTCCAGGTTTGTAAGGGCATGGCCCAGGTCCCCAGTGTGGAGAGTGTGGTGTAGAGGGAGGGTGTTGCACGCCCCAGAGCAAGGGGTGAGGGAGCACGTGTGCAGGTGTTTGAGGGAGCACGGCTTGCTGGGATGGCGTTGGAGGAACCAAACATGTCTGTCCATGCTCTGAGGACCCTGGGCCAAACCTTCCGGGTGGGAATGAGAAAAGCAGAGCATCTGAGTGAGAGAGGAAGAGGCCACACAAGACTGCAGACGTGCCAGGTCAACGTTTGGCCCTAATTCTCACCCCACTGCAAGGGCAAACGTACACACTAACGTAGCCTCACTCCCAGTGCCAGCACATTCCTGGACTGGCTCAGGCAAATGCCAGTGGAGTTAAACTGAACTATAAAATACTCAAATGATGTAAATCCCCTTGGTGGTGCTCAGAGTCCCGGACATCAGCCCTGCCCAGGGCAGCCAGTGTGGGTTTGGGGTCTGTACTTGCTCCATCAGGTTCAGCATCCCACCGAAGCCCAGCCAGGGTACGGTTGAACCCCACGCCGAGGCTGGCAGGAGCTGGGCTGTCAGCCCCTTCCCCACAGGTCTCCAACGCAGTGCAGAGAGGGATATTTTTTCTTCCTCTACTTATTTTTTTTTTACTTCTTCCCTCACTTGAGTTCTCTTTGTCACTTCCATGAAACCCAAGGGGGTTTAGTGCAAGCTGCGACTTTTCAGCACAAGCGAGCAGCCTGCAGGAACAGGCTGGACGGGCTGATTTAAAGCAGAAGGAAACAAAAATGAATAATAAGCGAGACAGGCAAGCAGACAAAAAGCAGTCGTGACATTTGCATAGAGGAGGCGAGCGAACAGTTGGCAGTGTGGATTGAAGAGAGGGTTTATGTTTTTTTCATGTAATTTGAGA